CTTATAGAAAATGTAGAGCATGTAATAATTTAGTCGAAAAGCAAAGGTCTTATCGAATAACTGTTTTAATAAAAACGCACACAACTGCTGATATATATCTCTGTACCTGATGTATAACTCTATACCTACCAGCTTTCATTTGCATTGGTTTAACAACGACCGGTAAACAAAGGTAACTTTCGCTCCAAACAATAACATGATTTACAACTTCATGCCGGTTGATGAATATAAAATAATGAGCGCTGTGTAATTTTCAATGTCCTTCAATGGAATAGTAGACATTCTGAAAGTTTACAAAGCTTTGTACAGTCTGAAGTAGTCCAAACTGAAACGTTTTCATGTGGAAATTAATCTGTCGGCATAGGGAATGCAAGTGGAGAAAGCATCCATAGCTGCTCAGGTCGACTTTTTTTTTTTGTAAAATGTGCCATCTTGTTTGATCGCGGACACGTAAAAGGATTTAAGACAAGATTTCAGCGCTTCGGTTAGGGATTGTGAAGCTAATATAAAAGGTCAGTGACACAAAGACCGCTTAAATTTCTGTACGTACCTTGATGTATCTTTACCGACCGAATTAAAATAGTTTTTTCGACGGGATATTGGAGTCGCTAGTTGTAGGCTCTTGGGCAAACCAATCTTTTTCCGCCATCTCTTCGCGGCTCACTCACAGAAAATTTCTTTTCACTTCGCTGACAAATTCATTGACCATATTTGTCGGTTTTGGGTTATGAGCTCGGAACTTCGTCATAAGGTCATAACATGACTCCATGCAGCCAATAAGAAGGCTATAAACTCAATATCCGTGCTTCATTTTTACTGAAAAAAAATTACTCCTCTTTTTTAGACACTTCCACTCAGCAAAGACGCATTGTTCCAGTACACAACAGGAAAAGTGATTGACCTGGTTTCTTATGTCTTATTGTCCACCTGATTGCCGTGTGAACTTTAATATATTTTGTGTGTAAAGATATTATGAAACTGACAGTTGTGTAGTGAACCCAAGTTTTATGCAGGCTGTTTAATGCGCTCTTAGATGAAGTAATGTTGTTCTTGTTCCTACTCGATTCCTATTTTACTTTTTGCCGGCGTTTCCATATTTCGTGCGAAATGAATTATCTGGCAGTAGTTGGCATAATCTTTAGATAGCGAATCAAAGATATCACCAAGAACACCAAGACCACTTAGTATGTATGTCAGTCTCAATTTTTACCAGAATATCCCAATTTTGCTCTTCCTTTTTTTTCAGAGATGAAATTTCCATTATTCGAAAGAAATGTGTTCTACGCGCAGGTGTTTTGGCCCTCAGATTCACTTCGGTTATCATTGCAATGCTGCTGTCAGTCATTACCCTTGCTGACTGAGGAAACTCTTACACCAGTCGATGTCTTTGTGTTGGTTTCATTTAACAACATGCTCACATTATGTATCGGCACTTACCTTGGGCTTGCCTTGTTAGAGGAATACGAAGCTTATGCCTCGCTTGGTAGAATTGAAGAATTTCTCCTTTTGGAAAAATTTGCGAGTCATTTCAAGCGATCGCTCAAGCCAAAAAGAAACAGAAATTGAAGCTGAAAACCCATCTGAGATGAAGAGGAATTCATTAGATTGCCAGAAAAAACAGAGAGGTCTTTCCACAGCTGATGAATTACAAGATCAAACGTCATTACGTGTGAGAAGTTTGGCGTACAAGCAAGCGGAGCGACAAGACTCCTATTCTTCAAGATATCGAGTTTTGCACTCCGGTTAGTAGTTTAACAGTCATCCCCGGGCCAGTTGGTAGTGGGAAATCTACTCTTCTATCAGTGATCGCTGGTGAAGTTCCATGCACACACGGAGAAGTGTCTTGTATGTTCCGCAAACGGCTTGGGTATTCTCTGGAACCATACGAGACAAAATTTTGTTTGGTCTGTCATACGAGGAGCAAAAGTACACCAGAGTTATTGAAGCTTGCTCTCTAGCTGACGACATCCAGCAGTTTCCTAGCACCGATCAAACAGGCGTCGGCGAGCGCGGTGTTGTTCTGAGCGGAGGCAAGCGGGCTAGGGTAAGTTTAGCACTTGCAGTGAACGCTGATGCAGATCTGTACGTTTTGGATGATCCTCTGAGTGCCGTAGACTTCAAAATTGGACAACACATATTTGAAAAATGTGTCAAAGAACTGCTAGGAAATAAAACTCGGATGATGGCCTCTCATCACAAGGACCACATGAAAGATGCCGATGAAGTGATCGTGTTATATAAGGGCAGTGTGCTGGAAAAGGGAGGTTTCCTTGAGTTACAAGACAAAGGAATCCTTAATAACACTATTGACCCGCCCCGCAAGAAGATTTCGAAAGGAAGTTTAGGAGAGGAATTTGCGAGAGAGAAAGAAAATAAGGGTGTTGAAGCTGCTGGCAACTTGATTGGAATTGAAATCCATCGAAAGAAACCAGGAGTCTTCTGACGCCACAGGAAGATCGGGAAATCGCAGTAATTTCTTCTAAGCTTTACTGGAACTATTTGAGAAGCGGACTGTCTACTTGGATGATTTTGGCGATAACCCTTTTCACTATAGTTGTCCAAGGTTAGACTTAGAGAGGCTTTTCCAAATACCTCACTGTGGATCCCACTACTGCACAAGATTAGCTATAGTTGTTCACATAAAATTTCGACATGGTCACTCGTTAAAGTTTCCGCACCTCGGGCGGTTAATTTGCCTTCAATTTGAATTCTCATTTGCGATGTTTTGTTTTCTTCTGCTTGGCTATAACCTAATTGCTTGAAGTTAACAACAGTTAATCGAAATGCGCCCGATATAATTACCTTAAGATGTAGAATGTATTAAAGTATGGGCTAAAAACTTAAAATATTCACCTTGCAAAGAATTTTGGCAAATATTCCGTCATACACTGGAGCCTTTTACGTAGTATTCCAAGTGAGGTTGTTTGCCGTTTTGAAACTTCTTGATGTGCCATGCGGTAGCTTTATGTTTAAGACTGAACTGAGGGAGAACCATAGGTGCTTCACTTCATAGCTTATGAAATATCAATGATAAGAAATAGGGTTTGATATAAATTACGGAAACATGCGGAGCACGCATTTGACACTGGTACTGCACTAGCCAAAAAAATTGGAAAACCTTATCCTTCTCACTTTCATGCATCTTTACCTAGAAGATCTCAACATTCACATGCAATATGACCATTAAGAAAGGCGCAAAATTCTGAAGTGTATCAGATTTCAGATGAAACGACAGCCATGCCATTTTCTTTTCAGGATTATTGGCTGCTCCTGACGTGTGGCTCTCGTTTTTGACAAAGCAATTTCCTCAAGATCAAAAAGATCGATCGAGCTTAGAAGTCTACGGATGTCTTACTGGAGTAGCACTTATATTTGTCTTGGCACGAACATTTGTATTACTCTCCTGCTTTTTGCGATGCTCTGAGCGTCTTCATGACAAGATGGTCGTTGCCATTTTGAAAGCTCCAGTTATGTTCTTTGATTCGAATCCCGTGGGAACCCTTGATGGACTGGACACGATTCGAACCAGAGGGCGACAAAGTGATTTTGTGGAGGAGTTTTAAAGGTGGATTTATTATAATTACCTTAATAAGGAAGATACAGTCCCCAGGGTGTGTCAAACAGTGTCAAACAGAGGGTACTCAAAAGTTTTTGCCACCTGAATGTTGTTGGTTGTTTGCTTAAAAAAAAAGGCTTACAAGCAAGAGCACCCAGGTCTCTCCCCCTTGCTCATACCACTTATGAAAAAGGGTAGGAATAAAGTCCACTAAAAGCTCTGACATTTTTTCCCTCTGCTTATTTTGGGAGAAATAAGTGCGATGTCTCAGTGATTAATGGACGTTTTTTCGGTCCCTTAGAAGTTAAATGGACCAAATAACAATACAACCTCCTCTAATTTTTCTTTTGTATGTGTGTTTTCCTAAAGACATCATGATGTTCTTAATCAAGCAAACATCTTGGTATTGGCCAGTGGGAAATGGATCAGTGTGCGCTTTGAGATTCTTGCATCACTATTTATTGGTGCAGTGGCTTTAGCAGCTGTTTTGGTATCTCAAGATGCCGGTGAGTATATAGTCAATAAACAAAACAAAGCCTAAATCATAAATTTATCTTTAAATTAGTGAACGAAACCTCAATAAAAACCAAAGCAGTCACATCAGCTTCTCGGAAATATGGTGACCAGTAAAAAGGCTTATATGTAGTACAAGGCATTCGAATAGACCCGAGAGAAGTTTTAGAGCCACTTTAAACAGCACGTTTCCGCATGCGATCCAAACAGGCCTCCATCAAAGCAACTGCAGCGATCCTCATAAAAGAATTTGCCCTAGATGATTAACCCCTACACTGCCTTATATCACCTCCTACGACAAGGTCCAGTGATTAGAAACTTCTTTGATCAGAAAAAGAAAGAAAACCAATAAGTAACCTATTTGGTAAGATCTAAGTGTCCAATTTTTCGTTCAATCAGCTTTTGCTGGACTTGCCCTGGCCTACGTCGTCGAAAGATTTGGGCCGGCTCAAAACGCCGTAAGAAAAACCGCGGAAGTCGAGAATCTAATGACGTCAGTTGAACGAGTTATTACGTATACCAAGCTTGAGTGTGAGTCTGGATACATAATAGAACGACGACCCCCGGAAAACTGGCCAAGTGAAGGAAATATCATACTTAAAGACGTTTCACTAGCATATTATCCGGGAGGACCGCAAGTGTTGAACAAAATCAAACTCAATATCGAAGGAGGAGCAAAGATCGGTGTTACTGGCCGGACGGGGTCTGGAAAGTCATCTTTTGTGGCAGCTCTAATGCGCATGCCTGAATCTGTGGTGAAATAATCATTGATGGCATTCCAATAAAGGCAATCAACCTCCAGGAAACTCGACGATGTATATCCGTTCTTGGCCAAAGTCCAGTGTTGTTCAGTGGTTCATTGAGGAAAAATCTCGATCTCACTGAGCGGTTTACCGATGCGGATTTATGGCGAGTTCTACAAGATGTGCAAATGAAAGAGTCAGTGGAAAGTCTTTACGGTCAACCTGATCACGAACTGTTAGAAAATGGTGCAAATATCAGTGTAGGAGAACGACAGTTGATTTGTTTGGCTCGGGTGCTGTTGCAGCGAAACACGATCATCGTTTTGGATGAATCCACTGCAAATGTAGATCCAGAAACAGAAAAAACAATCTTGGGCGTAGTGCGTGAAAAACTGAGAGACTCTACGGTCATCACTATAGCTCATCGATTGAACACCACTCTAGACTGTGACAAAGTTCTATTTTTGAAACATGGAGAGGTAGTAAAGTTCGACAAGTTGGACACATCGATGAACATAGAAGGAAGTGAGCATATATTTATCATCTGTCAAGTCTCAGCAAGGATATATTTCCGCTTTCTACAACCATTTTGTAAAATCACTGCTCAGCTACTTGAAAAATGGTTTTTATGATAAACATGTTTTGCGCTGGCTTTTTTGCATTATAATCCATAATATATTAATCATGTTATAGATCCGTGGAGATGAAAGATTATAAAGTGTTAAAATCAAAGAATTTCTATAGTATAAACCCAAAGAGATATAGATATTAAAATGTTAAAATCAAATAATTTCTATAGTATAAATGAGTAGTAATATAGCGTGGACCAATCAGAATCGAGTATAGAGGTCATGTGGTACAAATGGACCAATCAGAAAGGCGTATTGTCACGATGACGTCACGCAAAACCCAGAACGCCTGGTACCGAGTTTAATGGGGGTTGTGCGCGTGCGGGTTTGCGCGCGTGCGGGTTCGCAAGCGCGAGGAGATAGGGATGTTTTTTGCGCGCGCAGGTAAAAAAGGATTTTTTGGAGGGGTTTTTAATCAGTAAAAAAACTTGACATAAAAAAATGAGATAAAAAATGTCTCAAAATTAGGTTTATTGTAACGAAGTCGAATGTTTATAAGTTACAATAGATCGAAAATATCTACCGAATTGATTAGAAATATCTAAAAAAGTTTTTGTTACCGGTCATCATAAAAACCACTCGTATTTCTAAGTGAAACCAAGGAAAAAAATTAAAAAGTATGTATTCGTTCTATTACTGACGGCGGTATAATAGTCTGTACATAGAATATAAATCGTCTTCTTCGAAGAAAATATTAACCGACATATCGTGATATTGTGTATCTATGATTCTCATGTATAAACGGGCGATTTGTTGTTCTAAGAAATAATAACGATTGGAATGTAATCCGCATCGTAAGAAGAATTTGAGTAATTCTTTTAAGATCAGGTCGTGCCTCTAAAAAGAAGAAAAAATGAAAAAAAGAGATAAAAAATGTCTCAAAATGAGGTTTATTGTGATGAAGTCGAAAATGTTTACAAGTTACAATAGATCGGAAATATCTACTGAATCGAAAAACATGTAACCTTCTGTTTACAGTTTTTATTACATGAAATACATGAAATACATGAAATAGGGGTTGTTATAAAACAAAGTTAACGTGAATCAAAAAACTCCATTTAAATAACTATAATCATACAAATAACTATAATATTCATCTGCCGAATCGAAAAACATGTAACCTTCCGCTTCACTCTTTACTAAATGAAAAATGGGTGTATAAAACGGATTAAAATAAGGTTTATTATGATAAAGTCGAACTTTAAATTGCTTAAACACTTGAAAAAATGATTCTGGTAAGAGAAACTCTAAAACGTTTTGATAATTTTCTCGAATGGAAGCGACCTCTAGAGATGAAAGTCGAGGACCTTGTTCGTGTATAATTAACCTGACAGAGTTACACATTCGAGTACCAGCATAATAATCAGGCATCTGTACATGGGTTCGAATTGTTTCTAGAAGGTCTTTTATTTCTTTCAAGTTAATCTTGAAATCAAACTAAAAGAAAGAAAAAAACTAGATAACTATAGGGCGTTCAACAATTCGAACTCTTTCAACACGATATGGATTGCACACTTCAAAATGAATTTCAACAGTAAACATTTCAAACAATTCATAGATAGAAAGAGGAAGAAAATGATATAAAAGTCTTCTCATGTCTCTTTCTACGATACCTAAATCTAGACTGGAATCATGGAGGCCTATTTAAATAGATATGAATGGTCAATGAAGTTGGCGTGCCGTATTGTTCGAACAAATCATTATCGAGTTGGTCGATAATGTGTTGAAAAATAAATAGAAAACTTCTTCTTTCAATCAAGAAATCGAACTGAAAAAATAAAGAAAAAAAAGAGAAAGTTGCTCAATGATGACTAAGACTGTACTAAGAGAAATCAAAACAGATAAAGTGTTCAGAAATATCTAAAAAAGTTTTTGTTACCGATCAACATAATGAATTGCATCTGAAAAAATAAAAAAGCTTAGTTTAAAATAGTGTCAGTAATAACATGTGCTTGATCATCTTCTCAATTCGCGAATCACTTCTCTAAAAATAATCGATTGCATAATCGTTCGATTGCAACGTCCCAGTTTGCATCTGAAAAAATAAAAAAAAATTACCAATATCTCATCATTCTCTGGAAAAAAATATTACCGGTAACAATACGTTCTTCATCATTTTCTGCAGTATATTTTATCAAAAAACTATTGTTCATGGACGAATCTGTTTCTTTGTATCGAAGATTGAATTCATGATAATCCGATTTCGTAGCATATATATATAACATGACATGTCTGTAACGAAAATCACCCATGACCTCACACGAACGTAAATCGATTAATGGAAACCAAGCTCGATAATATCTTGCTAAACTATTAATGACGCCTTTAAAAAAATATAATTGAATACAACGTCCTAGTTTGCATCTGGAAAAAAAATACAAAAAAGATACAAAATTATCCTATGGAATCAATCCGTTCATTTGATAAAGATAAAAATAAAACCAAGGACTTGTTTCAGGATATACACCCATCTGAAAAAATAATTGTATCGATGACGTACTTCGCATGATTCTATCCAAAAGGATTATTTCAAAATCGGAATTAGCTAATGCAAAAATACGCATTTCATTGCGAAGCTGTGTTAGGGTTGCTTCAGAATAGCGACGAATTGTTTCATGTAAATGAAATGCAAAACATAAATATCCTTTTAAGACGGGAGTAGCAACCTAAAACGAAGAATTATTATTGTTATTAACGTGAAAATAATACATATTACACTTCTCATGAATAAACGGGCGAATCGTTGTTCTAAGAAAAAATAACGAGTGTAATGTAATTTGCAACGTAAAAAGAATTTGAGAATTTTTCTTTTAAGATTAGGTCGTGAGTCTAAAAAAGAAAAAAATGAAAAAATTAAAAAGTGTTTAATCACTCTATTACTGACGGTGGTATATGTATCTGTACATAGAATATAGATATTCAAAGATGCTGTTCAGTTGAAAAAAATCGATTTCTTCGAAATCAAGATCAACCGTCATACCGCGATATTGTATATTTATGGTTCTCATAAACAAAAAGACGATTCGTTGTTCTAATAAAAAACGACGATTGGAATGCAATGCACAATGTAAGAAGAATTTGAGTATTTCTTTTAAGATCAGGACGTGAGTCTAAAAAGAAGGAGAAAAAGCGAAAAGTTAAAAAGAATTTAATCGTTCTAATAATTTTTCGTGAAATCGTTCCGATAAAGCCTGGCTTTCAATATGTAAATGAAATACTGTATTGACTCTTTCAATTTGTCGTTGCATCCACGTAGTTGCAACTTCATAACGCTCAGCAGAATAGGAAACGAACAATGGCATGTAATATCCGATTCTTTCTCGTACGCTTAGCATACGATGATCAATGCACGTATGTAGCAATTTTTTTCAGTGTGTTGTCAGCTGTTAAGGTAGTCAACCCAACAACCCAACAGCAGAAGGTGAAAAAAATTGCTACATACGTGAAAGACATGGCCGACGCCGAAACACCGTGCGGTAAGTTTTTATATATGTCGCATTCGAATCTTTTTTTCTTTTTCCATAGTCGCACACGAGTGACACTAATTGACCATTCTTTCTTTTTTTCTTTAAGTGATCGAAGATGAAGAATGCGCCATTTGCGCAAGTACGTGCCCATTACAAGAAAAAACGCCTTGTTGTAAACAGTTGATGCATTTTAATTGCGTTATGGAATGGTACAAAAACCAACAAGAGAAGCACCTTTGACCCACTTGCCCATTTTGTAGAGCGGACCCGCCAGCCTCCCTACTACACCAACTGGATGAATTTCCATCATCATCACCACCATCACGATGGGAGGCTGCGCGGCGTCATGCAGAATTCCTCCGATTCCACTACAAAAACCATCAAAACAGTGTCCCAAAATAAAATGTACAAACTCGTGTTTGACAAACGTGTCATTGACCATGACACCTTTCGATCTTTCCCATATGGGTATAAATGCGGATTGTAGCCGGTTAGAATTCAACGATGCCTGAGTATATCTGCTCGTACGATTTTACGTGCAGGTGTCAGGAATGTAAATCGTGTAAGAAAAAAGAAGAAATTAATCAAGAAGTGTTGTGGAGGCAGCGAATACTTAGCCTAAGAGCGGTCTACATGCCAAGGTTAATCGACAAAATAACACAACAGATGAAAGATCTAACGCTTGCGGATGAGTGATCATGACACCTTTCAATCTTTTCCATATGGCTATAAATGCAGCTTCGCTACTCATTTATAATTCACTACAATCATGATCGGAACAGATGATGATGATGATCTTCATATTGATCTTGAACTTTACTGCTGTAAATTCTACGACAAAGACATTCACGTAAAACACACCTATTTCCTCATCGTCTCTACAGATAAAGACAATACTACCATCCACATCAATTATGATCTTGATGCTCAACCCAACAATGAAACAGTGAAACATTGGCTACAACAATCGTGGTACCATCACTCTGTCATTGAAAAGTATCGTTTAATTCAACCCAAAAACAGTCTTCCCGTATCAAGCAAAAACCCCTTCAAAAGATTGTGGACAAAGTGGGCAACAAAAGGGTGAAAACATCCGCTATCCACCATTCACGTACTTCCATCATGACGAGGAGTAACAGAAGAAAAAAATGCAAAAGAGTAAAAAAACTGATCAAAAAACTAAGAGATGACTGCTTTAATCTCGAAAAACATTACAAAGAAAACATCACGAAACTTCATATGCAACTTTTAGATAAAGAATATTATCTCAGCTCCATTCTTGACTTTATGAGAGGTTATTATCGTTCTCCTTGGGACACGGCTGTATATAGAGGTTTCTGAAACATGTGTTTTGATGATAATTAAAAACATTTTGAGACACTTTTTTTGTGTTACGTTTTTTACTTATTAAAAACCCCTCCAAAAAATCCT